TACTGCTGCGTTGTCAGCCTTCTCCTTCTCGTTCCATTGGCGGACAATTTTTAGCAAAATCAAAGTCCTTCGTCGCTCAGTACTTTCGTCCACCATATTGAATACTCTACGTTTAAAACATTTTCCGCTGGCCGACATACCCGACGGTATAAATTCTGAATTAAGTGCGACACAAGTGCGACGTATGAATCCACAGTCGCATTTCTGCCGCACTTAATTGAATTGAATTCGACACGGCAGAAATGCGACGTATGAACCGGGCCTTAGTTCAAAACGTTTTGCATGAGTTTATTTTCGCTGGGGGTACAATCGGAAAAAAATTTGTTTCAAAATTCAGAATGTCAGAGTGGAAAAAATGTTACTGCGTATAAAAAATTCGCACTTTAATTTTACGTTAATTCGATTACATATAAAATCTTCTCCGCAATTCATTCGTCTTAATTGTACAAAATGTCGGCTAAGCAAAGTAATTGTTCACTTCACGAAATACTTCAGACTCCTTGTGGATCCTCGAGGGACATGGAAAACCATGTTATTCTGTCGGGGTGCAACGCGGACAGACATACTGATAGATAGTACCTCATAGAAGAGGTTACTCAGGAACTGAGGCCACAACACCCTCTGTCTTACGATGCCTTAATTCAATCTGTGCGAGTGCGCGAAAGAAAATAAATTGAGTTAATTTAATGTACCAATGCTTAATCAAATCTTGCGCCATTTTGAAATTCCATTTAAATCAAGAGACAAGAAGAGAGACCTGATTGAGCAACTAATGAGCTTTTTACAAGAATGTGATTACCGAAGTTAATTTTCATCGAAGTGGAATGAATGCTAGTCAGAGTGCAAGCTCCTCGTTATATTCCACTATATTTGTAACATCAAATCAAAGCTTGTATTGGTGCATACCATGAGGAAATAAAAATTAACCTACATGCTCACCTGCAACCCCTCCCCTCCTCCAATTGAACTGAGTCAATTGAAAATCAGGTCTAATGACGAATGGACTGCCTTTTAGTTAAATAATCGAAAGAATTATTCGGTAAATCTAAGTATTCTAAACAAGTAATAATACAATTTCTTAACATTATAAAGCTCTTGGGACTGTTTCTTATTTTACGCCGTCGAGATGGTTCAGAGACGTTTGAGGCACCCTTTCCGAGATTAGTTAAGGCCGGATTTCGCGGGACCATAAGAATAGCTTTTGCAAAGAGGCTGAGACAATTTTTCCTCGGGTAGGAAAGAATTATTTGCTCAGACATAAAACTTGTTCTCATTTTCANGAACCTCTTGCGTAAGACATCACATTCCTCATGCGTTCTTTTTTTCTCGTTTCAAAGCATCTGCCAGTCTCGCCTACATAACTCCATGGGCAGTCGGCACAAGATTTTTATAAACCACATTTGGTTGAAGTTCAATCGGAGGTCGAGATTTAGGCGAGAGAAACTCCTGTTGTAATGTCTTGACTGGCTTGCTGACAACTCGAATATCATGTTTTTGAAGAAGTCTATTTAGAGGCTGAGAAATTCCATTAATGTAGGGGAGGACTATATACTGACTTTATATAGCCAGTGAACGTTTTTTATAAATTTTTAATATGTTTTGTCCTGGCTACGGTTCTTCTATTTTTAAAAATATTAGTGTACAAGCCCACAAATGATCACGGCCCGCAAATGATTCCAGAATCGCAAATGATCCCGGACCAGAAATGATCTTAGGAAATGATACCGCAAAAAATCAGGAATGGTGAGTGGACTCCATGAAAAGTCCACGTGTATATATATGAGGAAAAGACAAAATACTCAGGCATAAAAGCAACAATGAAAAGCGGTAACCAAAGGTAGACATACTGTGCCAAATAACAAATTAACATGGCAATATATAATTAATTTTTGGGCAAAACAAGAAAAGAAAAAGAAACGAACCATTAACGATTCTTACGCTGTCTAAGCACTTAACGTTTTTTCCTGCACACTATGGAAGTGCACAAGATTTTAACGTGTCAGTTTCGGAGATTATGATACCTTTGTGATTCATATTCCTTTGTTTGAAAATACATTTTCCTTCACAATTCGCTTTTGATTTAAGATTTTAAAATTCTGTTTTAGAAATTTTAGATAAGATATCAAACTTTTAAAAGGAAATTGAATTTTTCCCCCCTGTCATTAACAAACTTTATCAGTGGATTTATTTGCAAGTGAGAATATTTTAATGCGTGAGAACAAAGCAAAAAAATACTGTCGAGCAACTGCGCAAGACAGCTCATAATTCAGACGAGTTTTGTGGCGTTTGCCCTAATGCTTAAAGCCCTGGTCAAACGGACTCGCAAGTAGTCGCAAGTAGCCACAAGTTGAACTTGCGTAGAGACTTGTGTTGGGTAGCCAAACGGACTCGCAAGTTTCCTCGCAAGCACACGCAGGTTGCAAAAAAACCCATTTCAAGGCAGACATATCCTGTATTTCAGTGGCTAATAATAGATTAATGGACGTCTCTCCACTTGCGTTGACTTGGATTGGGTGGCCAAACAGTGAAAAACTTGCGTCGATTTGCATGCAAATTTGATCTCGACCAAAGTGAGCGCAAGTCATCGCAAGTCAACGCAAGCACACGCAAGGCCTGGCCAAACGGAGTGGCAAGTGGACGCAAGTTGAGAACTTGCGTCTACTTGCGACTCCGTTTGGCCAGGGCTTAAAACGCCGGATTAGATCAATTTCGATATATTAAAATTCTAGCTTGGCTACGAGGTTTAGGGGAATAAAACAAAAGAAACTAATTACTCGGCTGTGAACCTCAACGTCATTTCTTTTGGTTTATTCCCCTAAGCCAAGCTAGAATTTAAAACATATCGAAATCGGTCTATCTTTTAAAATGATTTTCGAAACTACTTTTAAACTTGCCGCCATTACGGCTCATGCACAACTTCACCTAGCTTTCTCTCGGTTCTTCTCGGAGCTGTGGCGTAGATTATGGGACATATGACGATAGCGAGCGAGATTTGACTGGCATCGCAAGCACTTGGACCAAATTATCATCAAACCGGTGGCTCAATTTCAATCTTCTCCTTTATTTTTCTAAAAAACTTGTAAGTCACGAGAGGCCCGATCTTTAATTTTCTTGCACTTGCCGAGAGTATTAAAATTCTCGTCTCCTCTTGTTCTCATTTGATCTTGGCTTTCAAAGATGTATCGAAAAAACAAACGAACAAACAAACAAACAATTTCAATGGACTTTTGTTTAATATCGCAGCGAATTCGTCAGTAAAAGATCTGTCCCGAGTTAAACGATTTTTAGTTGTACTGCTAAAATTTACTTCGTGTTATTAGCCCTATTTAAAAAATGAGGAGTGTCACACGATTCCTACACATTTTAGGCGTTGTAATCGTAGAAGAAAAAAATATACCTGTATTTTACAGTTTACAGCAAAATTGTTCTGTTGAACAGAGCTGCTGACTTTTTAGTTCTAAAGTTGTAAACTTTGTATACAAAGCTTTTAAATGTAATGACTGTTACGTTACAAGAAAAAAAAAAGTTTAAATCCACCGTCTAAATTCTTGAGTTCATGCCATTCTTTAATTACTGATTAGGCGGCCATTTCCGGTCAGGGGATCATTTGCGGGCCTGTACATTTCTGGTTATGAACCTAGTGCACGTAAAATAGTTTTTCGGGCCCGAAATGTTTTGCAGGGTCAAGCTCAGCTCCAAATAAAGTTTATGATACAGAAAAAAATACTGTGCAAAGGGTTAATTAACGTCTAGCCTAAGAAGAGTTAAAGAAAGTTGTGGGGAAAAAAATTAAACTACTTAATCTGTTCATACGCGATAAGTAAGCTGAATGCTAAAGCCTGTCTGGAGCCCTCGGTAGGCGGTGGAGGTATAGGACAAGCATATTTGGAAAGCAAAGCTGTTGTCTGAAAGAAAAAAAGCAAGAAAAGAAAAAAATACGATGATTGTTCTGACATAGGGGTACTGTACACAGAGTTCTAAGAACGGATGACAAAGTATGGAAAGTGTTTGGGTGACTTATTAGCAAATGGGGGTGCCGTTTTCGGATTTTGACTTTCTCTAACACTCTTCAGCCTTTGGTTTGGAGTAATTCTGGGAAGTTACTGAAATTTGGATATGGTGACCTTCAAGTCAATCAAATTTCTTACTGGCTTTCATCGTCATGTACCTCATGTAGCCTCAGATTTCCTTGTGATAGAAGAGTGACTGAGGGATAGAAGATGTGAGACGCGCATCGGTGACACAAACACGGTGCATGTCTGTTAAATTTAGCGGATAAAGTACCATTTCGTGTTACCTCTGCGAGCAAAATCCTCTCAAATTTTCTTAAAAAAAAAAAAAAAAAAAAACCCGCGATGATCCAGGAGAACTTTTTTATGTACTGGTTACCCTCAGAACGGTACTGACGTGTTTAAGCAGTTTGTTTAAGTCTTCAATTCAAGAATTAGAGGCGAGAGTAAAACAACCTGTTGTACTGCGAGGAGAGTATTATCCCTCAGACTTAAGAGGCTGTCCGCGTAAGAACGGATAAGGCAAATTTCGGACCTTCACCGATTCGCTTCATTTTTTCACTGAAAGTCAACCATTATATGCAATTTACAAATATCGCATTTATTTGAATCAATTCGATTTTTTTCATTTTTTACGAGACGGTTTTCAAAGTGACCTCGAAACTGGCTACTTTGCCTTGGCAGACTCTGAAATTTTGCTATAAACGTCGGACGCTGCCAAAACAAAGTTTTTCAATCTAACAAGCTAAATATTTTACATACAAAAGTTTCATCTTTCCAGTTTGCCAGAGTTACGAATTTTCTAAAACGCCTCATGCCAAACTCCGGAATGTGTGAAGCGTGACATACCTAAAGTTAAAAGCTATTTTCTCAAATGTGGGACCTGATCTAGAAACGAATCTATAATAACTCAAAAGTACTAACATCAATGTAAAAACTTACGAAATAAAATTTGTGGGCACTCTGCACTGCGCGCTGTACGGAGCTCCACAATTTTGCCAAATATTCGCCATTTTGATAGTAAACAAAGATAACGGCGGTCCCGCCTGTAACCCAAAAAACATGAACTGTAAACGCTCGGAAATAAAATAATCATCACTACAGGTCAAATTGTAGATTTAAAATCAGATTATCCGCGGTTTAGCCGTTGTTTCGGGAAAAATCTACCTTCATTTGGTATTTTAAACAGTAAAAACGAAGAATATTTTTTTTGCCATCCATATGCAAATTACATGTATTGCAGCCGGGTGAATTTTTATTACGATGAGACGACCAAATGCTTAAACTGATTTCTTCTACATATTTTTAAAGGCAAAAAATTGTTTCTTACCCGAGGGAAAAAAACTGTCTCAGCCTCCTTGCCAAAGCTTTCCTTACCGGTTAGTGAGCTCTTTTCATTTCTCACGATGCGGTAACGCAATGTTTGCTTTCAAGGCTTCACTTGTTCGTTTCACTTTAATTGAATTAAACCGACGAGCCAGGTTGGTTCTTCGGTCTAAAGCTTCCTCTTCTCGAGAAATTTCGTAGTACACAAAGAATTCTGCCGCTGAAGTTAATTTAGTTCAAAAGGTTTTGCATGAGTTTATTTTCGCTGGGGGTACAAGCAGAAAAAAATTTGTTTCAAAATTCAGAATGTCAGTGTGGAAAAAATGTTACTGCGTATAACAAATACGCACTTTAATTCTACGTTAATTCAATTACATATAAAATCTTCTCCGCAATTCATTCGTCTTGATTGCACAAAATGTAAGCTAAGCAAAGTAATTGTTCACTTCACGAAATACTTCAGACTCCTTGTGGATCCTCGAGGGACAAGGAAAACCATGTTGTTCTGTCGGAGTGCAACGCGGACATTTCTGCGCATTTGTTGAGTTGTCATTTATCGAAATGTGGCGATGTTACTGAAGCCGAGCTGATCATGGTGAGAGCGGGTATTCGTGGGATGTCGGCGACACAAATCACATGCATTACCATCTGCCCGAGGCACAGACACTCGCTTGGAAGATTCTGGCGAGCGCCAAGGACATGCCAACACCCCGGGCATACTGGGAAAGTTACAAGTTTGGCGGGTAAACACGTCATAAACTTCCAAATGGCCGACGAAATAAGTATTCTTTTTGGCAAAACTGTTACTGCTGTCGGATCGCGTAAGTGTAATATCTTTTGCTGGTTTTTGTTATTTTTTTTACGAAGCGTGAGTTATTTCCAGTAGTGAGATAACATATTTATATTTTGTTGTTCCTTTTCGCGATGATTGTTTCGCGCAGTGACGCATTTCCAAAACCGAATGCCTTTGTAAATTATAAGTCTCGGCTTCTTGATGCCAAATTATAATGAAGACATGACATTATGTACCGGTCAATTCAAAACTTCAACATTTCCCCACGGGCATTTTACATTTGAATTTTCGGGCGTGGCAATCCTAATCTCCCGTCCAAAAATGTTCTCAAAAGCCCCATCTTAGGATCATATAAGGCGATCAAATGGCCCTTTTCCTCAAGCATACTTAAAAACATACGCTTATTGAACTAGAATTTACGAAATTTGGAAATGCGATTTTAACGTACTCTGACAGCGCACGGCTTTTGGGGGCCCTTTCACTCTAGCGACAATGTCACTAACGAACATGATTTTTCGTCTCGATCCTCTTGCGTCTCGATCTCCGCGATCTCTGCCATGAGTTTGATCCGTGTACCAAGATGCTGAAATTTCGCTCAAATTCAAACCCGCCAGCCCCATACAGTGCTGAATTCCCCAACCCGATTTTGAGCAACGTTATCGAATTCCGCGCCCCTAGATACAAAAACGAGTCAAATGCCCCAGGTATGCTCGGTGAAGGTGTTGATGTTTCTACTTGATCGATACATTACTCATCAGACACTCTATGCAGTGCTGGATCCAGAGAAGGTCAAAATGGGGAAGAGAGGGGTGAGCGAACGTTTCGTGAGATACGGGAAAGTAGTTGTCCTAATAGTCGTTGTACCTTTTGAGCAATACGGATGGGGAAGGGCATTAACAAGCGCCGGAAACATCTTTTTTTAAGTAAGCGGAAGGGGNGGAGGTATTTTAGAAAATTCATAACTCCGGCCAACTTTGACAGAAAAAAATTGTTAAACCGTTAAAATATCGAGAAAAGATGAAACTTTTGCATGTAAAACATTCAGATTGTTAGAATAAAAAACTTTGCTTTGGCTGCGTACGACGTTTATAGCAAAATTTCAGAGTCTGCCAAGGCAAATTAACCAGTTTCGAGGTCACTTTGGAAACCGTCTCGTAAAAAATGAAAAAAATCGAATTGATTCAAATAAATGCGATATTTGTACATTGGATATAATGGTTGACTTTCACTGAAAAAGTTAAGCCAATCGGTGAAGGTCCGAAATTTGCCTTATCCGTTCTTACTCGGACAGCCTCTTAAATGACCTCCTCTTATCAAAATGTGCGCTTAAAAAACTAGGAGGGTGAGAGATTCTGTCTATTGAAGAGACTTACAAAATGACCGGACGAGTTCGTGGCATCCATGCCTGTAATTGTTCCTTCCCCTGATCCACGATTACAAATTAACTTGACAGTTAAAGAAGTGCTATAACTGTCGGAAAAAAAAATTGTCGATTAGCATGTGGTGGCTCAGACACTGTCCAATCTCTTTATGTGAGAATTCCCGTCATATAATACACCATTTCAGCAATTCTGTCGCATTTTCATTGCTTTAAGACCTTCCTTGAAAATGCTCTGAAACAGTGTAATACACCGTACATTGACCATGTAAGCATTTTTGTTGCATTTTCAAGGATTTTTCTCTTGCTTCTCTTGATTTCTCTCTTACTCCTAAATTACGGTAAAACTGTTATAGTTTACCCCGTTGTGCGCCTAGGATTCTGTTAATTGGAGTTTGGGATATCTGTGGAGATGGGGATGACTCAAAAAACTACAGGAACAAATTCATGCAGTTAAGAAAGGACGAGGGTGGTTTTTTGGATGGCATTGTGTGGGTTCGACTCTCCTGAAAGAACTTATTATAACCAAGATTTGACATGAGGCAGATTTGCCATCCTTTATCTTACCCTAAGGGATATGTTTAGACCCACAACGTAAATGACTTTAAGGTCGCGTGGGACACCAAGTATGATTTAATTCATAAACCAAATTGTTGGGGGTAGATGTCTCCGTTTCAAGCTTCAAATTTCTCAGTTAATCTTGACAGTCGATTCCACTAAAATTTAAAAAGGGATTTTTAGTGGACTATGGAATTACATCATGATTGTCGTTTTACTAGTGGATTGCGCTTAACAGTGATATTTTAGGCTGCTCATGTTAGAACTACCGAACAGCAATGTTTGTGTCCAAGTTTTCTAATTGAGAGGTACAGTATAGTAAATCCTCTCATGACGTATTGGTAAACTTATAACCTCTTTTCTGATGTGACAGTGACAGATTTTATAATTTCAAGAATTTTTGAAAGTAATTGACTTCTAAGGGCGCAAAAATGTGACGATTAGACTTTGAAACCTTCGGTTTTCATTAAGAAAGTTAGTTTTGCAATTCTGCCTCAGTCACATCACGATATTGTTCACAAAATTTATCTCCTTCTCGTATAAATTCCTGAAATTCTATATTCGCGACGAAAACTTAGATAGAAATTTGCAGATTCTCATTCTCCGAAAATGACACGAGCCAATAATCTATACAACAACGTGCACCCTTAAAGCTGTGAATCTAATTAGGATAATGTACTAACTTCCAGTGTACTAGCCTCCATTCCATTCCCATTGTGTCCGAGGATCCAATCAGACTCTAGCTAAGGAACGACACAAAGAACGGCTGCAAAGGAGGCTACAGGAACTTAGTCACCGATTTTAAAAGCCGCGATGTGATTGGTCAGTTCCTGGGAATCGAATGTCCGGCTCGGTTCAGCAGACGTTGGTGGGGAGGGAGAGTAGGACCGACACAAACAACTGCTGCGAAGGATGCTACCAATGCACGTGCTCCGTTACAGTCCAAGAGAAGGGGTTTCATTTTGAATTTTCATTGAGAGCAACGAGCTCTCAAACATAAGTTGTATGAGTTTTTTAAATGCGCAACAAGTTCATCCCTCAACATTTCAATCACGAGAGTAATTAATGATACGCCTAAAACCGACTGTATTGAATAACTTAGACTGAGATCAGAAAAACAGTCTTCTCATGAATGTTTGGTGCATTTTTGGAATAAGTCGTCATAGTTTGTGCATAGCCTTTAAATAAATAGATACGTAATGGGAGCAAGCGTCCTACGCGACATTAAATTACCAAACATTATGTTTATTTATGTGAAGGATTGCTACCACGTGATAACTCTGGCGTTGGGTCTGGTCGTACCAGGTACAGAAATCGGCCAATTGGGTTGTGGAGCAGATCCTGCTTCATTAAAAGCAGCAACTGGAGCTTAATTGGCCATTCTATCCCTCGCTTTCGAATTTGTTTGTCTAAGGTAAGCAAGTTTGATCTGCTCTGTTTAGGTTCTGATTTTCAGCTAAAATCATAAGTCTCAGAGAGTTTTATAAACGGAGTCTTATTAGCCAAAACTTCCGAGCTGTTGTTAGCTTTCCAAAAATGTTAACCTCTCCGTAGCCTTGGTGTTACGGAGGGTGTTTACTATTTAGTTCCAAAAAATATCCGGACATTCCTTAACTTTCCTAGAGCAAATAAAAACGCCTTCTTAGGTCGATCCAAAGGAAAGTTTTCGGGAGAAACGGAACAACCGAAAAGGTAGTCTCATTTTCCTGGTTGGAATTCGTGTCCTGTTTGCTTTAATACCACTCATTCTCGTCTTTGATCGTCTTTGCGGCTAATTCCAGATTCTCGCTGCAAATTAGAGTGAACTGCATAAATGCTAAACCTCCATCTATAACGCAGTTTTCCAATTAGGAATTTTGTGACCATGCACTTTGCCCATGTAAACTGAAGAGTTGTGGTGTTATATTGACAAAGAAGCGGGCTAGTTGTTCATATCCATAACGGTCATGGCGTTCTGAACAGGAAAAAATGTCTGGATGCCTTTCCTCAATTTAAACCTTGAAAATGTGACTCACCTGTAAGCCAGGGTAAGTACATTTTTTCCTGAGCTGTTGTTAGTTGTCCGAAGATGTTAGCTTGCTCTCCGCACACAAAAAGAATCAGTTTCTTTGTGTTACGAAGGCCGGGTGTGTATTGTTTCTAAAAAAAATCAGTAAAGCCCTTTCGGAATGTAAATGAAACACGACAACTCTGACCTACCCAGATGGTGCTTCCTCTCCGGTGTATTTCAAAACACACAGTCCATAGTCACTCAACTCACACGTGGCTGTGCTTTGATAAGCAATTGGATGGTGAGCTCTATGCAAGTTTCCGAAGAAGGCGCAAGCCTGTTGGGAAATAATTAAGTTGTTCAAAAATTTCATTACCGTACACTCGTCTGTTTTATTTTGATATAAAATAATTATCATTGATTTAGAAGAAATGAGACGAGAAATATGAGTGATAGAAACCGACGTTTCGGTGCATCTTGCACCATTATCAAGGTTACATAATTAATGATAAAAAGCGGTTTGTGTAGAGGCTAAGTTGAAGCGAATTTGCATAAAAGAGTGCCAAGCTAATTACTTGAATACTTTAGCACGAAGAGAATCAGACTGTACATTCAATGCTGGTTTAAGATCTTGAATAAAAAGCATTTCATTAACAAGGCAGTCAAATTTGTTCGTGCATTTCTTGATTACATTGAAACATGCTGAGAAATTGTTCGGAACAGCAGTGTTATGTTCTTTGGCATAATGCTTGTAAATAGATGGTGCCTTTTGACGGTGTCTCTCAACTTGTGTGTGAAGGTGGCCCTTTGTGTACCCGACATAACCTGCATCACACAAGTCACACTTGAATAAATAAACAACGCATTGCTGGATTACGATGTTAGGCTCGGGCTCACGCAGGCTTAGATCTTGTTTAAGCTTACGGCTAGTAAACACGGGTTGGATGGTCTTTTGCACCTTGCTGCTAAGATCTCTAAGTTGTCGTTTGACAGGCAGTGCAGCATCCTGATCTTTATAGGGATAACTATCCGGACGGTGTCATCGTATGCTGTTTAGGCTGGTCCGCTGCGACTCTCGAGGTGACAGACCTGTTAATGACGGAATCAATAAGGTGATTCGGATACCTCAGCTTACGGAAGACTCCTCTCAAGCTTTTACAGTCTTCTGAGAAATATGCCCGAGATGACGATAGCCGGTGCGCGCGATCAAGTATGGTGACGAGCAAACCATGCTTGTAGCGGCTATCCACATGACTATGATAGTGCGGGAGTAGTCCTGTTTGTCGGCTTATCGTAAACCTTTGTTTCAACACATGGTGTGCGATTTAGAAGCTGCACCCCAAGGAAAGGGAGCATCCAATTTTCCTCTACCTCCATAGTGAAGCTCACGGCACTATGGGTGTGGTTCAAAGTATCCAAAAATACTGTAGCTGCTGACAGACCTGGCATCCTGACTATAGTGCCATCTACGTAGCGGCGGTAAAATTCTAGGAATTTTCCTTGACTTTTTTGGGACCATTCAATAGAGCACATGAATACATTAGCAAAAAGGGGTCCAAGGGGGGACCCCATAGCTACTCCATCGGTCTGTTCGTATAGGGCCCCGTCGAACTGAAACAGCTGCCCCTTTGTAGCGACGTGTAGAAGATCAACGAGATCAGTTCTGGTCAAGTTTAGATCATAGGTGTCATTGAACAAGTTGTTCTCAAAAGCTTTGCGTGCCAGGATGTCAATTGTTTCGTCTGAGGGTACATTTGTGGGAAACGATGAGATGTCATAAGGGCCCAAGATTTCTCCCGGGTTTATCTTAATTCCACAAATTTCATTTGTGAGGGTGAAAAATATCAGTGATGGTATGTTCGTTTACCGACAGAGGCTTAAGCTTAGCATCAAGCCATTTAGCAAGGGTATAGTTGTAAGTGCCCGTAGCAGATAATATAGGACGCATTGCTAATTGCCTCTTGGGGGTCTTGGGCAACCCGTATAGGTGAGCCAGTCTTGATCCGGTAGGTCGAATGGAGTCAGCGATTGCCGATGGTAAAATTCTGGGTACTGTCGACTCTACAATACAATGGAATGCTCTAAAATGGGACGTTCTAAAGTGGGATGCTCCCTTTCCTTGTGGTGCAGCTTCTAAATCGCACACCATGTGTTGAAACAAAGGTTTACGATAAGCCGACAAACACAGGACTACTCCCGCACTATCATAGCCATGTAGATAACCGCTACAAGTATGGTTTGCTCGTCACCATGCTTGATAGCGCGCACCGGCTATCGTCATCTTGGGCGCATTTCTCAGAAGAGTGTGAACGCTTGATGAGGAGTCTTTCGTAAGCTGAGGTATCCGAATCACCTCATTGATTCCGTCATTAACAGGTCTGTCACCTCGAGAGTCGCAGCGGACTAGCCTAAACAGCATATCGCTGACACCATCCGGATAGTTATCCCCTATAAAGATCAGGATGCTGCACTGCCTGTCAAACGACAACTTAGAGATCTTCGCAGCAAGGTGCAAAAGACCATCCAACCCGTGTTTACTAGCCGTAAGCTTAAACAAGATCTAAGCCTGCGTGAGCCCGAGCCTAACATCGTAATCCAGCAATGCGTTGTTTATTTATTCAAGTGTGACTTGTGTGATGCAGGTTATGTCGGGTACACAAAGGGCCACCTTCACACATGCGTTGAGGGACACCGTCAAAAGGCGTCATCTATTTACAAACATTATTCCAAAGAACATAACACTGCTGTTCTGAACAATTTCTTCGCACGTTTCAATGTAATCAAGAAATGCACGAACAAATTTGACTGCCTTATTAATGAAATGCTTTTTATTCAAGATCTTAAACCAGCATTGAATATACAGTATGATTCTCTTCATGCTAAAGCATTCATGTAATTAGCCTGGCACTCTTTTATGCAAATTTGCTTCAACGTAGCCTCTTCACAAAGGGCTTTTTATGTAATATACAGGGTGAGATGAAATTTAAAAATTCCGCTTGCCCTTCGGACAAGCTGGAATTTCATCTTACTAGCTCAAATCTCTGAGGAGCTAGTCCGAAATTATTTTATTTAAAAAGGACAACTAGATCAATTTAATATGCAAAAATAATGTAAATTAATAATACGGAGCTTAGATGAACTAAATCTCTTTGATTTCCCTTTTGAATTAAACCTTATGCAGTAAAACATTCAGGACACTCATGATCAATGCGTGGTTCCGGAAAATAATCATACCCCGCGATAAGGGTGTTTTTTTCCAGTTTGATCCCACCCCCCAGGATTTTCCAGGGGTCTACACTGTACTCCCCCCTCCCCCATCCGCTGGAATTTCCATGATTTTTCTACCTGGGTACCCCTATCCTGTGGAAATTCCACATCCATAAATAACAAGACTTAAGTCGTTTATTTCAATCTCCTAGCTACTGTTATAAATTTAGCCGCAGCCATTCATGCTTACATTATAGACAAAGACGCAAGGCGGCATATTTTTTCACAAACAATTGTAAACTGAATCTTGATTTGGTCGCACGACGTACGCTATTTTATCGTATATTATTTATGAGGATGCATACTAGGTCAGGATCAAAGATGCTGGGTAATAAATGATTAAGGCTTTGAGATTTAACTTTCCAAAAAAAATAACTGTGGAAAATTCGAGACGTAAATTCACGTCATGTTAAAAATGAATTTGAACTAACAACTGACTTAGAAGCGCTTCACTCCCAAATGGCATAGCAGCTGATTTTTTCTTCATTCAAAGAAGTTCTCATACGAGAATCTGAGAAAGTACTGAAAATTTTTAAAAGCTCTTTTATAGCCGTGTCGAAGTTTTAATTTATGCATAGTCAAAACAACATATCGAATTACCTTGCACACGTAGTTATGCCGGGAACGTAAAGTCGTCACGCAACATGTTTTTTAAAACAGCTGTTTGCCAAATATCGCTGAAATTTTTCTTTCAGGAAAGGAATACATCAATTAAGTCATACGGTTTGTCTTTGTAGTTTGTAAATGATAGTAAATTCATTTTATGCCTTAATGTTACTTTTTTAATTTGTCACACGTTTTATAAATCATGTCGTACTACATAAATAATCAAATGAAATCTTGGCTACGGCTCCAGCGCTCTTACATATGCTTCGAGACAATTAGACAAATGGCACTGAATCAACTTTGCTAGCAAACTATTATCTACACGGAAAACGATGAAAATATGCGATTACCTTTGTTACAGCAAGTTTTTGGCTCGCACCGCCGCACTGTCGGGACATGCGGTCGGGAAAAAAATTGATTTCGGTAATTTTACATTTTACTCTATCTTAGAAAAAACAATTGCATTGTTTCACTTTCTCTCACGAACTGTCTGCTAAACACAATGACTCAAGTTTGTCATTAGGAAAAAAAGAGGGAAAAAAAACAACAACAACCAACATTGTTTCAGTAATGTCCACTTGGCCTTCAGGCAGCCTATGATAAGAAGGCGCTAGCTCGACCGACCGTTTGACTAGTCCAGGGCTATCGGACAGCCTTTTTGTCGCGTCTTGAATATATCAAACATGAAAGACCATGTTTGACCACATTTCCAAACACCGAGAAGAGAGTTGAAAATACGACGCGCAGCGGAGTATTTTTGACAAACTTCGAGGAGTTTGGAAATGTGGTCAAACACTGTCTTGAGTGTTTGATATATCTTCTCAAATGAAACTTAAACTAAGGAGAAAACGGAAAAATAAATTCGTAAAAATCGATGCTAATTAAGATCATTGTCACGGTCATGATTTCTTTTGTCTAAACTTGATGAATTATTTTAGAATGAGTTTGAGAACATTAATTATGTAACCTTGATAATGGCGCAAGATGCACCGAAACGTCGGTTTCTATCACTTACATTTCTTGTCTCATGTATTTCCAAATCGTTTCTTATTGGAAGAAATCTTAGAAATATTGTTAAAAATACGGTTTCATTTTAAATGTCGTTGGAAAGCATGGAATGCAGTTTCAGTGTCGATATCTTTATATTCTGTGGCCTATTTTTGCTTTTAAATAAATTTCCTACACAACGCAATTTTGGATTTCTTGATGTCATAGGGTTAGTAATCAATTTAGCAAAAGATTTCCTGATAAAAGCTGAAACTACATGACGTCATGAAATCTAGAATGGCGGCGCGCGGGAAATTTGAAGCGAAAATGAGCCATATTTATATCCATTTTTGTTACGCTCAGATCTCCACGAATAAAAAATAATTGGGAACTACAATAGTTATTATTTTGATAATTTCGCATCAATTTGCCGCAGCAGTGTAGGTTGTCGTAATGCTATATTTGGTCTTCTCGTTTGAGCGACTTTAACAATTCTGTTGTCTTTCTGCTGAGTTGATTTCTTATATATTCTTTCGTCTTGAAGCGTTTTCAGCGAGTTAGCGCTGGTGGTGGTGTCCCATTAGAAAAAAAACATTTGTTTTTTGCTAGTGGGACACCACCACCAGCGCTAACTCGCTGAAAACGCTTCAAAACGGCCTCAAACACCGTGAAACAACAAAGAATAAGACAGGAAAGCAAGGTAAGTTAGCTTTATTCACAGAACATTAAATTTTAGGTATTTAAAGCAAACCCGTGAAGTTCCCATACAAACCCTTGTAAATCGCATCTCTGTAACACAACACCGCTCGAAGGCAAGAGTCACGTTCGCGTATGTTTCATTTAGGCCCGGTTCATACGTCGCATTTCTGCCGTGTCGAATTCAATTCAATTAAGTGCGGCAGAAATGCAACTGTCGATTCATACGTCGCACTTGTGTCGAATTTAATTCAGAATTAATACTGTCGGGTATGTCGGTCAGCGGAAAATGTTTTAAACGTAGAGTATTCAATATGGCGGACGAAAATACTGAGCGACGAAGGACTTTAATTTTGCGAAAAATTGTCCGCCAATGGAACGAGAACGAGAAGGCTGACAACGGAGCAGTATGTGTTGCAATATGTTCAGGTTGCATTGGGTCGAGAATGGCCAAGTTTCTACTTTTTCTTTGGAGGGAAAACATTTACGCATGCTCAATAAATTAACATAATGTATGCATTAGATTCGACACGACAGAAATTCGACGTCTGAATCGGTGTCGCATTTCTGTCGGATAATGCGACAAGACCAGTCGAACGTGCGGCAGAAATGCGGCAGCCGATTCAGACGTCGAATTTCTGTCGAATTTAATTCGTTGAATTGAATTCGACACTGCAGAAATGCGACGTATGAACTGGGCCTTACATTAATTATTTCCTCTCATCTCGCGCTTGGGCCGCCTGTGACAGTATAAGTGCTTTAAAATCTTGGGAAAGATCTTATCTGTCAGTAATTTTAGGATATATCGGAAAATGTATTTGGTAATTTCTTTTAACCAGAGTGCGATCTACAGTCAGCCGTATCAGTTCATCTTGGAAGACGCATAATGCTTTTGCTGAAACCTTAAATTTCTCAGACGTCTTAGACGCCCTCTAGTATAAATACGCGGCGAATATTAAGTCTTTCAAGATAAATATGGCCAATGCGTCTGGGACGACTAATACGTGTGAGAGAAGAATGCGCCTGATAGGAGTTCCCGTATCTTCCAAGATAAATATGGCTGATTCAATTGCAGTTTTCTCATAGCATGCACAATTGTGTAATATGTGCGAGATGAATAATGCGCCCTACCGACACATTGTGGCATATTCTCGAAGCCCAGGAGTCCGTATAGGCTCTGCATGGATTCCAGCTGGCTGTACAATACGAGAATCCGGTGCAAGGAATGTGTGAAAATCTGAAAGGATGAAAATGATGCGCGAATTGAAGAGTCATTCTCTAATAACGTGTATGAAATCGCAGCTCACGGTCTCTGACTTAACACAGCAACCTTTGTTTTGCTTTAGTTTCAGACTGATGTCCAAGACAATCAGTTGGTCAAGCGCTTCTAGACAGCCCAAACTCTAATCAGGCACTCTTTTTAGTCTACCATGGTCACTTTTCTACACAGTAACAACCCCTACTGGCTTCCCTAGCCGATTATGAATAACTACCAAGACATACAACAAAACTTTATGGTTCCAGAAATTTAGTAGGAAACTCCAATGACTTCTCTCACTGCTCCTGGACAAGTCAGTCCTTTAAACTTGATTTTACCGCGGTTGGCAATCCAAGCAGTGATCTTCCCTCTCGGATAACCGCTCTGGCCTGCGCTCTGGGGAGCTCTGGGGAAGCCCATTACCAGAAAAATGGGGAGCCTGGCTACGAGTTTGTCGAGCGCATCAAAGATTGAAGTCGGCCATTTTGGTTTCATGTGTTTTTCTTTCGTAAATATGTTGTTTTTTGACTATCGACTTTTGCTCACACATAGATGAAAGCCGGTAGAGGTATTTAAGACTGTGGTGATGTATCGGTCACAACAGCACGGTCGGCGAGGTCAATAAATTGATACAAGAAAGCCAGAAAGTGGGATCGTGTTAACTTAGCATATGGGGGAAATTAAGCTCGTAGCTTTTTCTCTTGGCAAGAGAATTTGATGGTTTCCACTGGCTTTCTCTCCTTGTGGAGTCCAAGGTAAGCTTAATTTCTTGTTAAGTTTTGGTTTCATTGTTTCGTTATTGTTTTATTTTGTTTACACACATTGAAATTCTGTCTGTGTTAGTATCCGACGGAAGTTCGAAATTTGTAAGCTTATTTTAAAATACTTCAAGTAAGAAATTTGAGTTGCCTTATCTTTTAGTTTTGTTGTCGTTCACACTTCATTTCTTTTGTATTCCATGCTGTTCGACCTGAGGGAAAATTTCTTCAGAGATGGTATGTAAGTCAACCTACATGTACGATCGAGTAAATATACTCCTGAATATTTAAGTGATCATGGATGGACAAATTAAGTCCAAGAGACTGTGTTGATCTACTTTTTGCGAGAGAGATATGCTGTCCAATTGTGTCAAACATAAGGCGGACGCATGGTGGCTGGTGATGTAGAGTTTTTTTTTACTTCTAGAAATGAGAGATGTAAACAAATTGAAATCAAAACTTGACATAATTATGGAGAAGAGAATGCTTGATACTTGTCAACATAAGTATGTTCTGTAATCATTGCAAACATCTATTAGAAGAGACGTATCTGCAATCCTTCTGAATATTACTGCATTGCTAGTGAGATTAGCACAAACAATTACCGAGATATATAGGAATAAAATACAGTGATTTGTGTTTCCAATAAAGAAAATTAGTTATTTTACTTGCATACACTACAATATGTAGTACCCCTATTATTGATCGCACCAAGCTGGGGGTCTTCTCGCTATAGTTGACTAAAGGTGCCCTTTTTTCAGGCTGGAGGTATTATAAGACTTAACAGGACAGGGATTTCAAACATTAATTGATTATTTTTTCCAAGAAATCTAGTAGGGTGACATTAGGTTTGTGAAGGGGGTTTCAAGCTAGAAGCTACATGTGTATTAAAGAGAAGCCTTTCCTGTCAAAAACACTATGTAAAATGGATAGGGTTTTGACCTTGGGGCAGAGCCTCCTTGTATAAAAGGTCGTTACTTCCCTTCCCCCTCCTCATGGACAGTTATATGGTAAAAAAAAAACATAAATTGTAAATAAAAACATCCCCTTCACTTTGGGTTCAAGACTGAAACAAAACTGTCTGAAATTCTTATAATACTGAAGGAAATGCTTTTCTTTCTATAGATTTCCCATATACCACCAAGCTATAATCAAATTGTTTATATTTGACATAGCTTAAAGTAAACAAGATTCTGCCAATATCCATGTCTCACTCAAGTGAAATTCGGGCAAAATACTCTTGGCAGTCTTGGCATTCTCAAGTTGATTGTCTAAAATAAATGCTAAAATCATGTATTATAATTTTTGTATAATTGTTATACTCAGTTGTTTGAGCAACGACCATAACCAGTTCACCTTGACCTAAAATGCACTGCAGAATCCCTAATATTATACATATATTATAACCAACTTCAGTGACTAGGTGTCAATTTTGGACTGAGTGGTGAATATGGTGAAATCGCATTCAATGATTTCATTTTGAAACAGACTGTTGTTATTCTTTGGCACTACATCATGTCATGTANGGGCAGTTTCTTACTGGAACGTTAAACTAAACGAGGTGAGAAACAACACGACAGAGAGAAAAAAGTGGGTCGATTTAATTTGACTAATTTGCTTGTTTGATTCTTTAAGAAGAGATAAATATCAGAATGAATATCCTGTGAACTAAACTGAAGGCAGTCCCGAACGCTGGTCCAAGCATGTTTCTAAAAGATTCAGTTAATATTCAAATGCGACCGAAAGAGGTAATTGAGTTTAGATAAACCCGACCAACTATTTCTCTACAAGTTTCTCCTGATGTCATGGCGTCAACTTAAGTTGTATATCCGATAAAATGGCGACTGAAATACCGCGTCAAGGTCTGCTGCGGTTTGGTTGAAGTAGATCAGTGTTGACTATTGGCAATAAAGCAGTCGTTCCTAATAGCGGTACTTCTCAAGAATCGTCAATAAGTGGAAAAGGCGTTCACAAGTCTTCACAAGTGTCTTTTGAAACTTGCGAACACGAAAACAGAGTAACAGATTATTAGCTGCAAAAATGTCCCAGCTTGCAGATAAATGAGGCGATTTGAGTCGTATTCATTTTTCGTGGAATACTAGTTAGTTTGTTTAAGCTATGTACAAACACTGTTACTTCTGATTCAGGCGTCTTCTTCTTTCAGTTATACTTCAGTTAATACAAATGACTGCAAGAAAACGTCCTGGCCAACTGACGTATGCGCAGTAAAGCGAACAACATATATTGATTAACAGTCTGTGGTTCTGTTTCGAACGTCACTGATAAACAACACATTGCAATCAATATTTACTTACCACTGATGTACATTCTTTTTGAAAAACAAGAAGTCTATGTAATAATGGACAAGTCAAATACAAAAGTATACGGAATAGAGAAGAGTATCGCGAAATCTGTTTTTCAGGGAAAGCAATCCAATACCATGACGAAAGCCCCAAAACATCTGCAAATTGGGGTCAAGAAGTCATTCTCGTGACTTCATCTTTGTTTGCTGGATAAAGAAAAGGAAATCGAAAGCAGATTTACCTTCACACTTGATCAAGCTAAACCTTGCCGTTATAGGGAGTCACATTGGGAATGTTCCTTCCTTCTCAGGGGCAATTTATCGTCCTCAACAAGATAGCAACTAAGGTCACTAAGGCAGTATATGACTCAGTAGAGCTAAAGATGTCGTCTTTCTGAAGGAAAGAATAATTTCAGATCATTACATGCTTTTTGCAAAGTTGCTCTATAAACAACAAACGATAAAACACTCTCGGTTCCTCTTCAGGGCAGTTTCTTACTGGAACGTTAAACTAAACGAGGTGAGAAACAACACGACAGAGAGAAAAAAGTGGGTCGATTTAATTTGACTAATTTGCTTGTTTGATTCTTTAAGAAGAGATAAATATCAGAATGAATATCCTGTGAACTAAACTGAAGGCAGTCCCGAACGCTGGTCCAAGCATGTTTCTAAAAGATTCAGTTAATATTCAAATGCGACCGAAAGAGGTAATTGAGTTTAGATAAACCCGACCAACTATTTCTCTACAAGTTTCTCCTGATGTCATGGCGTCAACTTAAGTTGTATATCCGATAAAATGGCGACTGAAATACCGCGTCAAGGTCTGCTGCGGTTTGGTTGAAGTAGATCAGTGTTGACTATTGGCAATAAAGCAGTCGTTCCTAATAGCGGTACTTCTCAAGAATCGTCAATAAGTGGAAAAGGCGTTCACAAGTCTTCACAAGTGTCTTTTGAAACTTGCGAACACGAAAACAGAGTAACAGATTATTAGCTGCAAAAATGTCCCAGCTTGCAGATAAATGAGGCGATTTGAGTCGTATTCATTTTTCGTGGAATACTAGTTAGTTTGTTTAAGCTATGTACAAACACTGTTACTTCTGATTCAGGCGTCTTCTTCTTTCAGTTATACTTCAGTTAATACAAATGACTGCAAGAAAACGTCCTGGCCAACTGACGTATGCGCAGTAAAGCGAACAACATATATTGATTAACAGTCTGTGGTTCTGTTTCGAACGTCACTGATAAACAACACATTGCAATCAATATTTACTTACCACTGATGTACATTCTTTTTGAAAAACAAGAAGTCTATGTAATAATGGACAAGTCAAATACAAAAGTATACGGAATAGAGAAGAGTATCGCGAAATCTGTTTTTCAGGGAAAGCAATCCAATACCATGACGAAAGCCCCAAAACATCTGCAAATTGGGGTCAAGAAGTCATTCTCGTGACTTCATCTTTGTTTGCTGGATAAAGAAAAGGAAATCGAAAGCAGATTTACCTTCACACTTGATCAAGCTAAACCTTGCCGTTATAGGGAGTCACATTGGGAATGTTCCTTCCTTCTCAGGGGCAATTTATCGTCCTCAACAAGATAGCAACTAAGGTCACTAAGGCAGTATATGACTCAGTAGAGCTAAAGATGTCGTCTTTCTGAAGGAAAGAATAATTTCAGATCATTACATGCTTTTTGCAAAGTTGCTCTATAAACAACAAACGATAAAACACTCTCGGTTCCTCTTCAGGGCAGTTTCTTACTGGAACGTTAAACTAAACGAGGTGAGAAACAACACGACAGAGAGAAAAAAGTGGGTCGATTTAATTTGACTAATTTGCTTGTTTGATTCTTTAAGAAGAGATAAATATCAGAATGAATATCCTGTGAACTAAACTGAAGGCAGTCCCGAACGCTGGTCCAAGCATGTTTCTAAAAGATTCAGTTAATATTCAAATGCGACCGAAAGAGGTAATTGAGTTTAGATAAACCCGACCAACTATTTCTCTACAAGTTTCTCCTGATGTCATGGCGTCAACTTAAGTTGTATATCCGTTAAAATGGCGACTGAAATGAATACCACGTCAAGGTCTTCTGCGGTTTGGTTAAGGTAGATCAGTGTTGACTATTGGCAATAAAGCAGTCGTTCCTTATAGCGGTACTTCTCAAGAATCGTCAATAAGTGGAAAAACGATCTCAAGTCTTTAACAAGTCAGTCTGTTGAAACTTGCGAACACGAAAACAGAGTAACTGATTATTACCTGTAAAAATGTCCCAGCTTGCAGATGAATGAGGCGATTTGAGTCACGAATACTTGTTAGTTTGTTTCCTATGTACAAATACTGTTACTTTAGATTTAGGCGTCTCCTTCTTTCAGCTATTCTTCAGTTAATACAAATGACTGCAAGAAAACCGTGTACCAGCCAACTGAGTATGCACGGTAAAGCGAACAACATGTTAATCAACAGTCCGTGGTTCTGCATCGAACGTCATAAACAACACATTGCAATCAATATTTACTTACCACTGATGTACAATCCTTTGGAGAAACAAGATAACTGTGTAATACTGGACAAGTCAAATACAAAATTGCACAGACTACAGAGGAGTATCGCGAGATCTGGGATAACACTTCAGTAACAGCCCTGTTTTTCTGGGAAAGCAATCCAATACCATGTCGAAAGCCCCAAAACATTTGAAAACTGGGGTCAAAAAGTCATTCTCGTGACTTCGTCTTTTGTTCGTTCGATAAAAGGAAATGAAATCGAAAGTGGGTGTACCTTTACACTCGAGCAGCTAAAATGCTGCTAAGAGAGTCGCGTTGGGAATTTTCCTTCCTTCTGTAATTTCTTATCGTCAACCATACAACAAATAAGGTTATGAATATAGAGGTTGTGTTTTTGGAAAGAATTACATGCTTTTGCAAAGTTGCTCAAGAAACAAACAATACACAAAACTCACTCATTCCCCGCCCCTCCCCTAACAAGAACATGGGTCTTGTTATTGTGGAGACCGAGTGGAATCTGGAGCATACAAGTAGACTCTTGTGTTGGGAAGTAGTACCTGGGACATAACCATCTTTACTTTGTGTCTCAAAGAGCAAACGCTCGAGTGGACTTGAGTTTTACAAGAATTAAATGGACAGTTATTTATTAAAAAGCAGACAAAAAGTAGTTCATTTCCTTTTTACAGAGAAAAATAACGAGGGTAAGGGCTCCATCGCGGTATAATTGCAGGGCATAACATCCAGATATCAAAATCCGGGTGGCTGATTATTGCAAGTAAGTGATGCGCGCATGGGATCATTGGCTTTTTCAATGTAAGTTAGAAACATATAATTACGTGTGAGGAGAGCATAATTTTTGATAGTTCTTTTAGGGCTTTAGTGATTTGGCACGTTTTTGCTCATGGATGACGTAACATCCATGAGCAGTCTAATGGCACTCACTCCCTCGATTCTGATTAATTTATTCATTAAACTTGAATTAAACAATTTTATCCTAGCTCCCCCACTAAGTATTGTTTTTTTTCCAAGAGTGTTCAGTCGTCAGGAAGGTTTTTGATGAGGGAAGACTACAAAGGAGTGAATTTTTGTCCGAAAAATGGAAAGCCTGGGTACGAGTTTGTCGAGCGCATTAAAGATTTAAGTCGGCCATTTTCGTTTCACGTGTTTTTCTTTGGGAAATATGTTGTTTTTTGATTATCGGCTTTTGCTCACACGTAGATGAAAGCTGGTAGAGGTATTTATAACTCTGGTGATGTATCGGTCACAACAGCACGGTCGGCGAGGTTAAAGAATTGATACAAGAAAGCCAGAAAGTGGGATCGTGTTAACTTAGCATATGGGGGAAATTAAGCTCGTAGCTTTTTCTCTTGGCAAGAGAATTTGATGGTTTCCACTGGCTTTCTCTCCTTGTGGAGTCCAAGGTAAGCTTAATTTCTTGTTAAGTTTTGGTTTCATTGTTTCGTTATTGTTTTATTTTGTTTACACACATTGAAATTCTGTCTGTGTTAGTATCCGACGGAAGTTCGAAATTTGTAAGCTTATTTTAAAATACTTCAAGTAAGAAATTTGAGTTGCCTTATCTTTTAGTTTTGTTGTCGTTCACACTTCATTTCTTTTGTATTCCATGCTGTTCGACCTGAGGGAAAATTTCTTCAGAGATGGTATGTAAGTCAACCTACATGTACGATCGAGTAAATATACTCCTGAATATTTAAGTGATCATGGATGGACAAATTAAGTCCAAGAGACTGTGTTGATCTACTTTTTGCGAGAGAGATATGCTGTCCAATTGTGTCAAACATAAGGCGGACGCATGGTGGCTGGTGATGTAGAGTTTTTTTTTACTTCTAGAAATGAGAGATGTAAACAAATTGAAATCAAAACTTGACATAATTATGGAGAAGAGAATGCTTGATACTTGTCAACATAAGTATGTTCTGTAATCATTGCAAACATCTATTAGAAGAGACGTATCTGCAATCCTTCTGAATATTACTGCATTGCTAGTGAGATTAGCACAAACAATTACCGAGATATATAGGAATAAAATACAGTGATTTGTGTTTCCAATAAAGAAAATTAGTTATTTTACTTGCATACACTACAATATGTAGTACCCCTATTATTGATCGCACCAAGCTGGGGGTCTTCTCGCTATAGTTGACTAAAGGTGCCCTTTTTTCAGGCTGGAGGTATTATAAGACTTAACAGGACAGGGATTTCAAACATTAATTGATTATTTTTTCCAAGAAATCTAGTAGGGTGACATTAGGTTTGTGAAGGGGGTTTCAAGCTAGAAGCTACATGTGTATTAAAGAGAAGCCTTTCCTGTCAAAAACACTATGTAAAATGGATAGGGTTTTGACCTTGGGGCAGAGCCTCCTTGTATAAAAGGTCGTTACTTCCCTTCCCCCTCCTCATGGACAGTTATATGGTAAAAAAAAAACATAAATTGTAAATAAAAACATCCCCTTCACTTTGGGTTCAAGACTGAAACAAAACTGTCTGAAATTCTTATAATACTGAAGGAAATGCTTTTCTTTCTATAGATTTCCCATATACCACCAAGCTATAATCAAATTGTTTATATTTGACATAGCTTAAAGTAAACAAGATTCTGCCAATATCCATGTCTCACTCAAGTGAAATTCGGGCAAAATACTCTTGGCAGTCTTGGCATTCTCAAGTTGATTGTCTAAAATAAATGCTAAAATCATGTATTATAATTTTTGTATAATTGTTATACTCAGTTGTTTGAGCAACGACCATAACCAGTTCACCTTGACCTAAAATGCACTGCAGAATCCCTAATATTATACATATATTATAACCAACTTCAGTGACTAGGTGTCAATTTTGGACTGAGTGGTGAATATGGTGAAATCGCATTCAATGATTTCATTTTGAAACAGACTGTTGTTATTCTTTGGCACTACATCATGTCATGTACAATTTAATTAAGTAACAATGTTCCATTTCCAATCAAAATCAATTAAAATAAGCAGTCTGTGTAAACAACCTGTTGTTTGATTTTTTTATTACATTTCTATTTCGAGCAGTCTGGATTTGAGCCCTGGCCGGGGACATTATATTGTGTTCTCGGGCGAGACACTTTACTCTCACAGTGCCCCTCTACACTCAGGTGTATAAATAGGTACTGGCAAATTTAATGTTGTGGGGGTAACCCTGTGATGGACTAGCATCCCATCCAGGGGAGAGTAGAAATACTCCTAGTGGCTTCATGCTACAGAAACTGGAATAAGCGCTGGCCTGATGGGCTGCTTGGCACATATACAGAATTTATTTCCACTTCTGAGTTGCTGTTTGCGTCTTTTTCAGAGCGAGTGCTTGTGCAAAACGTTTCACATGAAAATGACGTGATTTTCATGAGAATGAACGTACAGGTGGCATACATTTTCATATGAATAGTTTCGCACAAAGACTCGTTTTGCCACAGAGGCAAAAATAAACTTGGGATTGGCTTATTCATCCATGAGCTGGCTCAGGGAGCCTTTGATTTATATTTGTTACTGTTTTGTTTGTTGCATTCAAACTTTGACTATATATGCGGTTGAGCCAATAAAGTATATGTATGCATGTATGTACTGAATGTATGATTGAATTGTGTTGTGTTCAATGCCTTTGTTGCAGAGAGGATATTGATGTTACAGTGAGTTCTACCAATGTTGATATTACAGGCATATCAGCATCTTATTGAAACATATAAGGAAGTCCTGTTTCCAAGATATGGCCTCTTTTCGGGCATCTCCATGGGAACAGTTGTCTTTCAATACCGTCAAATAAATTATTTTCCTATTAGATGCTTCAAATCCCAATTGTCCTCAAACATACGAAGTGTTTATTTTTTACAATGTGTACCAATATTCTTTCATTTCCATGACATGATCAAGCCAATTTTTACTTCTCTCCCATACTAAAATAAATTACAACATCTCCAAAACGATTTGCAGGTCAGCTGTCTAATGGTTCGGAATACCGAGACATTGCGCGAGGTTGAAATTGAAGATATCAAGCAATCGAAGTATCCAATAACGGGGTCCGAAATTAACTTTTTTCGGCAGGCGCCAACTGGCTACTGAAATTTTTTTTTCAGTCGCCAAATGGAAAAATGTGGTCGCCAAAAAGTGTCAATGAAACTTTTCCCTTGCAGCAAAACACAAACCAAAAGTTTTGGTCGCCACGGGCTTGCCGGCAAAATATTTGCAATCGATGTAATCAGGAATCAAACCATTGGTGAAATCATCTTTTGACCACTTTGACAGATCTACATTTCCACCTTTTGACGCCCAGAGAATATCTAAATCTTCATCTCATTTCTTCGCGGATGTTCCGTCTCCACCTTGTAATAAATTACGGAAAGATTTCAGAACATCTTTGGACACCACATCGCCTGGATAAATAATCATAGCGAAAGAACGCACGTGACCTCTTGCGCCCGCAATACGTATGTTATGGGAAACCGCTGAAAAAACATGGCAGCGAAGCTTCGCACTGATCGTCGCTGTTAGACGTTGTGGTAGATTTATAATAACAGGAAAATTGGTTTTATACTTCAAAAGCAGCGGAAAGGTAAAAAGGAAGTGACCAATTGGCGGGCGGCTTTGA